CATACGACCACAGGGTGTGGAAAACAGGGCTTCCCGTCCGCTCAGCCGTACTTAAGCCACACGCCGGGAGGTTAGTAGTTGGGTGGGTGACCACCAGCGAATCCCTTCTGTTGTATGTTTTTGGTCTTTTTGTGTATTCTCTTTTTCGTCTGAATGCTTTTTGTTTTTTTTTTTTTTTCCGGTTTTTTTCATGTCATGCCTTTGCGTCAGTATATAGGCCGCATGGATAATATCCTCAGTATGTTCAAAGAAGGCGCGCTCAGCTGGGGGTGGAGGCGTTCACGTCGATGCCAAGAATATGTCAGAAGCCTAAATGTATAAATGCAGTGGCCGCCAGGTACTGTACACCTCTTCTCACCTCTCTAATCACGCCGGGAGACAACTGTAAGTCAAGCACTGTTCTGAAGAATAAAGCAACAGCCAGGAGCGGCAAATACTGCGTTGATGTCTGCGACAGATACTTATTGATCAGTATGGATAGAGCAACGCGCAGGGATTATCGATCTTTATCTTCACCCAGCGCCGCTCATAGAGAGACCCTCGCATGGGCCTGGCGGTAGTTGGCGTATGACCGAGGTAGGGGATTCAGGACTGAGAACCGAGTTTCCTGATCTCACCCAGTGGTGCATATAGACATCCATCCGGGCGCACATAGGGTCAGCAGGTCATTCTTACTGATCAGTTTCTTACATCCCCTCTGTGGCAGCCCTATCAAAGTAGCAAGCATGTCCAGGTGTTCGAGCCACATAATCCCTGTTGAGCAATGGTGGCATTGCAAGATCCCTGTCAACGTGCATAGGCGGCTATGCTATGACCCCGACTCAGCCACCCTGCTGTTCACCTCCGTCGCAATTCTGTTGTTTCCCAAAATTCAACCAGTTCTCCTTTCGCGGCTTTGCTCAAAGCATACTACCGAGACTACTGTATCACACATCTACATCTTCAGAATGAGTTTTGGCTTTGGTGTCGGAGACTTCCTCGCCACTCTGCAACTCGCCGACAACTTGAAGAAGTGGTTCGCACAAGCGCCCAGTGGTTTTAAGGCCATTTCTGCAGAGTAAGTCATATGTCGCCTACGTGAAGAGTAAATGAGAAGATAAAAGGTAAGAATGGTAGCTGATGGCAGCAAACAGTGTGAAAAGCCTGTGGGCTGTCCTCCATGACCTCGACGACATTCCCAAAGACGGCCTCAGCGTGACCCAAAAAGCGGAACTGGATGTGATCGTTCAGCGAGGCCGCGAAGTTCTATTGGGGATCGAAGGCAAGCTTAGCAAATACAATGTCCTCGCGTACACGGCCTCGGACTGGAAAAGCAAGGCGGCTCGGGCATGAAGTCGAATGAAATGGGATCCGGTCGAAGTCGACAGCCTGCGGAACCGTATCACATATTGTCTTTCGCTGTGGAACTTGGTCATGAACAAGATGAATCAGTACGTTGTACTCTGGCTCTCGTTGAGAGGAGGTTTGGCCACTGACCACAACGCCGATAGAGACTTGACAGCCGACATCGGGGCAGAAGTCCACGCTATGAAAGACACACACGATGCGCAGTTACACAGCGAAATGCTTGCCTGGATTTCTCCCATCGATACCTCGGAACGGCAGCGGAAGTCCTTTGACATACACGGCGAAGGAACGAGTAGATAGTTCCTGGAGAGTGAACAATTTGTCCGCTGGATTTCTTCCGACGCAGGCGATCACGCCTTGCTCTGCACTGGAGCTCCCGGGGCAGGCAAGACAATCCTAACTTCGATCGCAATTGACCGCCTCCAGAAGAAACATTCCCACAAAGACGGCATCGTCATCGTCTACCATTACTTTCATTATCAAGAGCAGCTTGGATATTCTGATATCCTTTCCAGCTTTCTGAGACAACTGGTCCAGGCCAACCCAGGCCTTCACGAGATCATCGCTAGGATATTTCCCCGACGATGGCGAGCGCACAACCGCCTGACAGGCGAACAAGTGCAAGAAATATTGAAGCTTGCGTTAGTTGAGTGTAACGAGCTTATATATGTTATCGATGCACTGGACGAATGTTCTGACCTTTATGTGCGACGTCAACTCTTTGCCTGGGTCAGGGACACCCTAAAGCCCAACGGCCGTACTAAGGGTAGGTTCCTCGCAACAGCCCGTCACGGCGACCATTTTGGCAAATTTTCCCCTGGAAATGTGACTTTCTTGGAGATCGAAGCGAGCAGAGGCGATGTGGAAAGCTTTCTCGATGGAAACGTAACATATTTGCCAGAGTTCCTTCAGGGGAAGTCCGAGCTCTGGAATTATATTCGACACCAGATCATTGAATCCGCCGGAGGCATGTGAGTAGCAAGGTCCCTGGCCAGTTTTAGAAGACGGTACTTAACAACCTCCAGATTCCTACTGGTCCGCCTCTACTATACCCTGCTTCTCGACGAAAAGAACGAAAAGGGCGTCCGAGCGCTGGGACAGAAGCTGTATTCCAACTCGGGAGCTTACGATCACGCATACGGTGAGACGATGAAGAGGATCGAGCAACAGAGCGCCGTCTCCCAGGATCTCGCCAAGAGAGCTTTAGCATGGATTGCATTCTCTACACGACCACTCTCTGCTGTGGAGCTACAGGACGCTATAGCAGTGTAATTTGGTGCACCCGAGCTCGACGAAACCAGTGTAACTGGTATTGACGATATAGCTTCCGTCTGCTGTGGGCTAGTCGTGGCGGACAAACACGCCAACACCACTCGGATGGTACATCTCACGGCCCAGGAGTATCTTAATCGGACCTGGCAGACTTGGTTTCCGAACATGCATGAATATTTGACCAATACATGTCTGACGTACGTATCGTTTGAGGATTTTGACGAGCGGCGACAAGCAGTGCCGCGACCAGAGTAACCCTTTCTATTCGTACGCAGCTCACGAGCTAGGGACCCATCTGCGTCATAGCTTGGGCAAAAATTTGCTTCTCATGACATTCCTCGAGAATGATTTTAAGGTTTCTCGGTGCATGTGTGAGATGTTTGGTCTAGAAGCGGGGCTCAAATTCCCTGGAATCCATCTCGCAGCGCTGCTCGGTCTTGAAGATCATGTTCCCAAGTTGATTTTTCGCCCTGGGACCAAGTGGGCGGACGCTCGAGACCACCTTGGCCGTACACCTTTAATATGGGCTGCTGCGCAAGGCAACAGCAGCGTGGTCAGTACCTTGCTTCGTTTCCAAGCCGATATCAATGCCGAGACACTCGAGGGTTTCACACCACTGTTCTATGCAGCAGCATATGGTCATGCCGAAATGGTCACCATGCTGATCAGCTGGGGCGTGTACATCCATTCTCAGACACGCAGTAAGGAAACTGCACTTTTCGCTGCTGCCAGAGGCGGGGCCGGGGTTCAACTCGGTCCCGAGTCGCTCTTTACTATGGGGGACCATGCCCTGGTCGCACAATTATTACTCGATGCAGGGTCCGACGTGAACCACCAGAACATACGCCAGGAGACCCCTTTGTACACCGCAGCAGCGAATGGCAATATCAAGGTTGTTGAGCTGCTCCTTGGCCGGAAAGCCTGCGCGCGGGGCAGCAAAAAGCCGGATCAAGATCCCTTGACCGTTGCAGCACGGAAGGGCCATGTCGCAATCACTCGACTCCTATTGAAAAACGGCGCAGGAGATGCATCTCTTGTGCGACGCATTCTGCAGGCGGGCTGCGACCCCAATCCCCGAGACATATTCGACCGAACGCCCCTATTTGCCGCTGTTTGCTTGGACCGGGCTCAGGTGGTGAAAGTGCTTCTCGACCACCACGACATTGAAATCCAGATTGAGGACAGATTGGGATACACTCCACTCCAAGAGTCATACCGAAGACAGAAGTCTGGAACTCCCTTTTACAATGGCCGGCATACAGGTCGTGCTCGACCTTGGGCTGAGGTCACCGAACTTCTGAAGTCTAAGCTCGGCCTGCGGAAAGAGGATCCCTTGCCCACCATTGAGGGTCTTCCCTTTGTTCGGCACCATGTGCTGCAGCGGCCTTTTTATCCACATTGTGATGTGTGTTTGGATATCAGAACTGCGAAGCATAGTGTGAAGTGCATGGACTGCAGCATGATTGCCAGGTCAGACGGTACTGTGGCGAAGACTGTGATCTATCGTAGAAGCTGTATCCAAGGGGCAAAAAACTGTCCACTGTGTCACCGACCATTTGAGACCCTGATTGCCGAGTGATAAAGGATCAACTCACACTCTTAACTTTACAGCTATGGGAGCTACTCCGCACCATCAGAAATGCAGTACAGCGCGTACTCTCACTACGACAGGAAAAAAGATCCAGATCAAGCGCAAATCTTTGGGCAAGCTGCTTTGATATGATGGGGTATATGTCAACTCGAAGCGGCGCTCTGAGCATCTTAACTCCTGATTTAGCATCGCCAAACAAATTTCCTTTTTCGCCATGACTCATTGTATACGCACTGGCTAGAATATATCTTCTGGTCGAGATGCTCGGAACGCTGGCCTATTTGCCTGTGAATACCTACCGCGGAATATGGACTGCGAATATGCCATATTCTGGTCAAGGGGTCGTGGACTGTAGGGCAGACTATATCCTCGCATTGGGCAGAAAGAAATTCATTCAACAAACATGCTTAGGGCGAATGCTCCTCTTACCAATATGTAGAAAACTGTGAAGAGACGAAGCAAAAGCTGTAGTCGATTTTGCTAGGCCACGAACTACAATTCGCTCGAGAATGAAAGGCTTTCAACTTGCAGCGCTGTTTCATCGACACGGTTGCCGGCGTGTGATCCTGCCACGGCCGTGACCACTGGCCCTGCTTGGCCATCTCCGCTAAACAGCCGGGAACGTCGGCCGAGATTGCGGGCAGAGATTATCAATGTCCCACTCTCCGTCATACACACGTTCGTGCCCAAAATATGAACTTACGATCATTCTACTGGTTTTTATAATGCGGGATTGTTGGTACGGTAGCGCGCTAGGCTGTATACATACAGATTTTTATCCCCGACGATGCTGTTTATCCCATTATGCTATCGATTATAGGATCATCCGAGATAGAGTAGAGCTCTTTTCACGTCGGCATACGCCCCGCTGGGCTGCGCCCGCAGCGCGATGAAGTCCTCCACGTAGATATACCCGCGTGCGAAGACGTACAGGGCACATATTATCGTCACAGGGACTAGCACGCGGAACGAGACCGCCATGTCCGGATCATACTCTTCGGAGATGTTCCGCAAACCGAGTAGACTCTCGCGCACGCTTACCAGGGTGGTCCCCGTGCTCGAGTCGCTGTTATCGTGGTTATACGGAGATCGACGACATCTTCGGGCTGGCCCAGGCATGTCGACCTGGGCTTTGGGCTCGTTGAGCCGGTTGCCGCGCCGCACCATCTCCACGAAATAATAGACTCCACCGTAGATCGAGAAGGCGGCATTGTAGACACTGCAGATCCGCCAAAGCACTTTCTCCGTGTACGTGGGAAAGTAAAAGTCCCACGCCACGAGGAACAGCGCGCTGAATCCCAGCAGGATAATGATGGCCAAGGGTGAGTACTTGTACTCCGGCCTCAGCCACGTGTCCGAGGGAAACCGATCCCACGGTCGGCTCCGAACCCGCCGCGAGAAGATCGGCATCCGGAGTATGTGGGTGATTCGGGTGTAGTATTTCCAGTGGATGTCAATGCCAAAACGGTCATGGCTGATATACTCGAGCGGGGTTCGGTACCACTGATCCGGTAGTTGCGGATGAGTCTGTTAAAGTGGTGTCGGTATACGCTCGTAACCACTTGGGTTTTCGAAACTTACGGTTCGTTTCATGAGATCACGAATAGCTTGTACGGTGATGTCGTTCTTCGTAGAAATATGCCGGGGTCTGCTGATAGACGGCTTGTGAAACCAAGTAATGGATGTCGCTAACATCATGAGCGAAAATGCAACAGTCGTCAGCTCCAACGTCGTAACTGATATACCCAGGCGAAAGCGCTCGAACGTGGATACTAAGAACCAAAATGCCTGAGATACGGCGATCAGTCTGACGGGATGTTAGAGCAGGCTGCCATTACACGGTCGCAAAGGCATCTTACCGAGACAATGTATCCGCGGAATTGCGCTCCTCAATGGCCATCTGCCCCATATCCGGCATGTCTATGTAGTCTTGGGAAAGGAGGTAATATAGTTGCCGGGCATCGATGGGGGATCCTTCAGGGAAATCAGGGCTCCTCAAGTGTATGCCGCCCATATCGACAAAGAACGCATGTCTATATGTCCACTCAAAAGTCTTGTTGAGCCTGGTATCATTCCTGAAAACCTTTTGGATAGGATTAGGATTCACTCCTTGCCAGATAAATGCCTCAGATCCTTTGTGGACGCGTCACTGTACGTACCCTTACACTTTTCCTTGCACTTTCGAACTGTCCCCACGCAATTTCAAAGAGAAAATCAGGCCCCAGCAAGCTGATACAGAAGAGGTTGAATTTGTCGACGAGTGGATGCCACTTGCTGTCGTTCGGGGAGCCAACGTTGGGATACACGGATACCCAGCAGCAAAGAATGATTGTAGTGCAACAAGACCTTAAGATATCAAGACTACCTCTGCCTTCAGGACTTGGCACCCATCCGTGCACAATACTTTCAGTGCTGTTCCCCATGTGATGAAGATAGGTGTATAACGCGAAAGGATAGGACGATTCGAACTAAAGCGAGGACTTGCCCAAGTTTGAAGAGGTAAGGCCAGACCCGCCTGGGCTCTATATACTAACCAGAGGGGTCAACTACTGCAAGCAACAGCCTTGTAAGAAGGGGCGGTGCAGATAATTTTAGCTCCTGACATCACCCCAAGGCTGGAAGACAGCCAAGACAACGAAGGGTACATGTCTGGAGTTGAATGGTCCTAACAATCAAAGTCCCGTAATCTATCCTTGCTAGTTGCTGATTACTAAAGATTCACTAATACAAGTATATTCTTGTTTTGTACGACGGGCGTGATAGGAGGGCAGCCTGTGGCGGGAAACGCCCGCCATTTTAGTGCTGAAATCGCGTGAGGGGTCTGCAGGGGGGGGGGGGGGGGGGGGCGCGAAAAATAGCGTGCTAGCTGTCTCGTCCCATCTTGTCTAACTACTCATTTTTCATGCAAATCACCAATGTCAAACTTCACGTCCCCCTTTTCGATGGGTGAGCCCTGTGCACAATCCTTTGGCCTGACAAGATATCATTCGAAGTCTGTGCTATGGCAAATGCTGGAAGCTCGCCCTTGTTGCCCCAACCCGCCGGGACAGCAGCGGGCAAAAGGTGCCCATAGATTCGATCACCTACTCTATCTATCTATTACATACCTCGGACATATGAGCGGTGTAACGGAGGAGGTTAGTAATCACACAAAGAAGTCAAGGAGGAGAAGCGCCACAAGTGTACAATCTAGTCAGGGTAAATACTACACACTCGCAGAGACAGAAGTAGTTGCATTCTTCATGAGATACAAACTTCTGCGTTCCCTTCCCGTTCAATCCAAGTTCTTCATCTATCAGCTGATTCCATTCCCCTCAACAAGTCACCGTGGTAGCAGGGTAAACGCTCGGCTCCGCGGTCAAGCGCAAGTGACCCTCCCAGGTCCCTCTATGGGTCATCGTACAGCAACCACGGACGGCGCCGGCGGCATTCAAGGCGGTGGCACACTTCTCTACAGCGGCTAGGATTGTCTTTTTCTCCGCGGTGGTCTCGCAGTTCGAGCCGGAGGTCGTGGCCTCGTAAGCGTAGCCCTCGACATAGCTTTCTTCAGAGTCGACGCCGTAGGTGACCGTGCACGAGTCGGCGGTGGACTTGGCCTTGATGATCGCCGCAATGTACTGGTAGATATTGACGCCAGCCTCGGCGGCTAGAACGACAGTCGAGACCCCGCCGACCACCGTCGCGTAGGCCACAGCAGTGGCAATCCCCGTGCGCTTGGCGAGTTCCCCTTCCTGCGCCTAAAGACTCACGTAGTCGGCATTGACCGTGTCAAAGGTGACGGTCAGGTTGGTACTTGCCCCATCCCACTCGGTGGACTCCGGGATGTAAGTTACGTGAGTCCCGTTGTAGCCCGCAAGGCAACGCCCAGCAAGGCCAAATGCGAGCAGACCAGAAAGGACTTGGCGGGAGAGGACCATTCTCCGGTTCGGTATCGGATGACAGCCGCACAAATATCAAGGATAAGAGTAAGAAAGATTATACACCCGTCGGCAAGCATGGATGGGACTGCAATATGGCGGAGAAAAGGAGAGGTGCAACTTGAAAGGATTTAATGGGTTGTGTGGGAATCAGGGCGCTGGGAGCTCCTGGTGAATGACTGGCCTTTTATATCTTTTCTGCTGCCCCTTGAAAGCCACTAGACCCGAAGCGAGGCTGTTGTTGTGACCTTTCTTTCTCCATAGATCGTGCTCCACGCTCAAATCTCCTGTACAGTATCGATTTCGCGGTCAGAGGTAGTTATCACAGAAGGAACTCCTGTTGCGGCTTTGCTGTGGGTCCTCGTGGGAAAATATCGATCGACTTGGCAATGTCAAGCTTATCTGGGCATCGGCCGGGACTCGGAAGGTGTCCGAGATACTGAGTCTATATGCAGTTAATGGGAATGGTGGGGAGAACCTCGCCCAGATACGTATCGTGTCTCTCCGTATGGTACTCATTGTAACGCATGAATGTGCAGGTCCAGATCTCGTGCTAATCGAATTTTCAGGTCACCTCTGACAAACCATTGCCTTCTGTGTGATGGCTCCCCTGGATTTGACTTACCCACCTCATGCTATGCACAATAACATCACCTGGTGGCGGGTAAAGATAAATCCGCGGCAACCGTGGTGGAGGAAATCTCTGTTGCCATTGATATACGTAACGTGCGCCTAAAGTGGGGCCGGATAGGCCTTAAGCTTATTCCCCCTTGGTCTGCGTACGGATCATTCCCCGACCAATCGTAGTTGAAGGGGGGGAATATCAAGACACAACTTGGTCTTCTACGAGCGAACTCGGACACACTCAGAGTCTCAGAGTCGACAAGACAGGCCACGCTCGGCCTCATCGACTAGGATAGTGGGTGCAGGTTGAATTGCTTCAACCATTCTAACCCGGAGTCTTTCGTTCCTGGTTGCCAACGACAGACGATTGGAAATGCGACAGGACCTTCTGCGGTATTTTATGGACTTGAACCAGGATGGCTAGAATTATTCGTGGCCGAAGTGCCACTGAGCCGTTGCCGGAAGAGGCATTGGTGCGAGGAATGCGGCCCGGAGCCTTCTGTGGGCATTCGAAGGATTATTCCTCGACAGAGCTCTACAGAGGTAACTCAACCCAGGCTTATTTCAGTTCGCGGTGAAAATGTGAGCCCCACTCGAAGGGCTCTAGGTAGCACTGAATCACTTAGTGACAGACGATTTTGTGAGATGTTGACCAAATACGTACCCAGAACTGCAGAGCATCACCTATGTTCAAAGGTTTGATCACGGAAAGCCTTCCATGGCGCTCTGATCCGGCCACCTTTCTGCCCTATCTTCTTGTTCCATAAACACAACATAATTTACAATCTACGATCCAAGAGGAGATTATCACATCACTAGCGCGTTACAGTTTGACAAAACTTAGTTTGTAATTATTTGATACCAGGCCCAACTACGCTGATATGTCACATTCAAGCAACTCTCATGAGGAGAAGAAATTACTATGTCATATTTGCGACAGGGTCAAAGCTTCATGGCAAAGACTTCACGTGCGAAATCCTCCCCAAAAGTCAATGACTCATCTGTCGAATTTCAATGCATCTAGAGCGTGCACAATCAAGGAGGCTCTCATGTCTGGTGAGGCGCGGCTACTGCGCCCTAGTATAGAATTGGCGTCAATTGATGGCATCTTCTAAGAAGCACCATCTCAGGATAGACCTAGATTTGACAAGCCTGAATTTTTCTTACTTTGGTGTGTTCACAGCCTTAAACCTGTTCCGCCAGAGTCCGATGTGCAGCCACACTGCCATTAGCCACGGGTATAAATGCTGGCATAACCATCGAGTCGTCCTTTTCCTTGCTGACCACCTTTTCAGGGGATCCATAGCCACCACCACCAGGGGTCTCGATCATGAACCGATCGCCCGGTTGAACCTGGACCGAGCTCTTCCCCCCGACATTGACCCGGCGACCAGCCTTCGTGATCCAGGTATTCTTCCCCCGCTGGCCATCTTCTCCGCCTGCCATTCCGTAGGGTGCGAAGCTCCGTCGTTCCGAGAGAATCGACACCGACATGGGGAGCCTTAACTCAAGCTCCCGGATCACTCCATCGCCACCGGGATATTTGCCCGCCCCACCGCTGCCGTGACGAAGACTGGACTGTCGCAGAAGCACCGGGTATCGCCGTTCGAGCGACTCCGGGTCGGTGATCCGCGTGTTGGTCATGTTGGTGTGGACGCCTCCGGTTCCGGCCCAGCTGGGGCCGGCACCGCTGCCCCCGGCGATGGTCTCGTAGTATCCGAATCCATCCTCGCCGTCGTTGCCGAAGGTCAGGTTGTTCATGCATCCTTGGCTCGCGGCGCACACACGGAAGCTCTTGAAGATGACGTCTACGATGCGCTGCGACGTCAGCACATTGCCGGCGCAGACGGCCGCTTCCGGGTTGGGACACAGAAGCGAGCCCTCCGGGATGACAATCTTGACGGGCTTGATACAGCCATGGTTGAGCGGAATATCCGAGTTGACCATGCAGCGCAGGGCAAAAATGACCGCAGAATTGCAGATTGCGATCGGAGCATTCCAGTTTCCTGCCACCCACTGGGTTAGAGCTTGATGTTCAAACGAACCGGAAGGTCGGTGAATGTTCTTACCGTATACTTCTGGACCAGTGCCGGTGAAGTCAAAGATCGCAGACCCATCGGTAGGGTTGATTGTCACTTTCAGTTTGATCGGGGTGCCGTCGTCCATATAGTCTACTGCAGAAATGTCTGTACCGCGCTCATGCGCGAGACGCTTCAGCAGAGTCCGCACGGCCAGCTCCGCCGCATCTTGGATTGCACCCATGTAGACCTACATTCTGTGAGCTAACGTAATTCTATTTTTGCTGAGTGGTTGATAGGTACCTGAACGACCGGGAATGAATACTCTTCGATGAGCCGTTGCATGAGACGAGCGCCGGAGTGGTTTGCGGCGACTTGGGCCTTGAGATCAGTGACATTGTCCTGGAAGCGTCGGGACCCGCTACTGCCTGGGTAACGTGCCGGCTCCACGCATAGAACGCGATAGAGCTCATCTTCATCGAAGTGGCCCGCACGAACCAGGAGGTGTGAGTTGAAGATAGCACCTTCTTCTGCGAGTAGCTTTGACATTGGTGGCATCGAGCCGGGGAGTATCCCACCCACCTATAGCGAGAGGAATGTTAGTGGGCGTTCGTCTTGAGCACTTTCGAATGGAAAAGACACTCACATCAGCATGATGGCCGCGCGAAGCGGCCCAAAAGATTATGTTCTTTCCAGCAGCGTCGAAGACTGGACTAATCACCGTTAAGTCGGGGAGATGAACACCTCCATAGGCTTTGTTGATAGTTAGCAAGAAGCTTGGATATTGACTTTGCACTGCGATTGCTGGAAGACGTACCTGGGGTATTGGATAGTAGCACATCCCCATCTTGCAGCTTTCCCTGCCACTCAGCAATCTGTGACCGTACGGCAAAGGCCATACTTCCAATCATGGCTGGTACATGAGGGGCGTTTGCAACCAAATCCCCTTCCGGTGTGAAGATTGCACAGGTGAAATCTAGTCGCTCCTTGATGTTCGCGCTGGTGCTGACGTTCTGCAGCACGCGGCCCATTTGTTCAGCCACTCCCATGAACCGATGGCGGAAGATAGAAAGCTGAATTGGGTCGATGGTTTCCGAACTAGTCGACTTGGGGTTCGGTGACTCGATATCAAGAATCAAGAGGTCTTGAGCGACGGTCGCCTTTGCATCTGGACTGACAACGATGGTCTGCGTTTTGTCGATTATCATCGCGGGTCCTTGGATTTGACTTCCCGCAACAAGAGTATCAAGCTTAAAGACAGGGGCGTCAACCCAACCCAGCGAGCTGAAATACGTGGAAGCCCTCGAGCTCGGGGTGGCCTCCATTGTAGCAGATGTAGAATGTGAGAGAGTCTTGGCTTGGAGACGCGAGCAGCTTTCCTGGAAAACACTGCACCCAATTGCGCGGACACGGATGGTGTCCACATACACGACACGGTTCACAGGAGTGAATCCAAATTGCTGATGATGTGCCTTGACAAATGCTTCTTTCGCGTCACTAGTGGGGCTATCCCAGGGTATCATGATGGAGGTTTCACTGCCATCGTATCTCATGTTCAAGAATCGGCAAGCTTGGACATTGTTGAATGGCTCCATCGTCTTGCTACGTCGGGCAGTCTCGACGAGGTTGTCCAGGGAATCATTGAGAGCTTCAATAGTGGACTCATCAAACGCCATCGTGCAGACTCGCTCTTCTTCATGCACTACATCTGCTAGACCAATCCCATAGGCAGACAAGATGGAGGAATATTTGTGGATGAGCACACGTCGGATACCGAGATCGCTAGCAATGGCACAAGCGTGTTGGCCACCCGCGCCGCCAAAGGAGGCGAGATGGTGTTTGGCAACATCGTGGCCCTTGTCCAGGGTCAAGCTCCGAATCGGCCCACACATTGCCGAATTGGCGACTTGGAGGAAGCTTTTTAGAAGGAACTTGTTAGCAGGACAGGTACAATAAAATACACTTGTGCTATCACTCACCCATCTGCAACTTCGGTCCATGTAAGTGACATTCCGGTCTCCTCGTTTATGATCTGGGTCAGCTCCGTAAATTTGTGGAGAACGATGTCTCTGTCTAATGGCTCGTTTTCGTTCGGACCGAAGACTGATGGAAATTCTTCAGGAATCAACCGACCGAGCGCGAGGTTCGCATCCGTCACTGTCAAGGGACCACCTTTGCGGTAGCAAGCAGGACCAGGATTGGAAGAGGCGCTCTCCGGTCCTACCGACATGAGTCCATCCTTCCAGCTCAAGATACTCCCGCCGCCCGCGGCAATTGTATTAACATTGAGCTGTGGAGCATGAATGGTGATCCCCGCCGTCGTGGTCTCGAATATATGATCCAGCTGGCCGTCATATC